CTTCTGTGCCAAGGAGCTTATCACTGAACACAACACTCCAGATGTGGCCTCACCAGGGCTGACTAAAGGGGAAGGATCACCTCTCTTGACCTGCTGACAGTCCTCTTCTGAACACAGCCCTGAACACTGTAGACCTGCTTGGCCACACCATCACACAGTTGGCCCATACTCAGCTGGTTGTCCCCAAGGACCCACAATTCTACTCTTCAAATCAGCTTTCCAGCCAGGTGGTCCCCCAGACAGAACTCATCCCTAGAGTTCTTGTCCGTGATGAAAAATTTTGTGCTTTTCTGTGTAGGACTCCATGAAGTTCCTCTCTGCCTAGTTCTCCAGCCTGCCCGGGCCTCCCTGAGTGGCAGTGCAATCATCCACTGTATCAGGCATTCGTTCCAGCTGTCCTGGTTTGAGCCAGGATGAAGCCAATTTTTTTTTACTGATTTTTTTTTTTCCTTTAGAGAGATCTCTTTTAACTAATAGCAGGTTTTCCAAGCTACTGAACTGATAATGCTGGAATGTTTATGTTACTGCTGAGACAACAAGGCCACTTTGCTCTGCTTGTTGAACTAGTTGCCTCAGGTGCTAAGGAAGCAGAAGAGCCGTATCTGTAACCATCCCATAGGGAGGAGTTGACTAGATGGACAGCAAAATTGACCAAAGTATTCCATTCCACATATCTACATAAGCTCAGAGGAAGGTCAGAGATCTCAGAAGGCAACTTCCTTCCTGCTTCTTCTCCCCTTCTCTCCCATCCATGGCCAGCATCCAAGGAGGACTCGGTCTGTCCATCCTTGTTGATCCCCAGGCCCGTGCATCCCTGCCCCTCATCACTCTCCCCTCAGCTCCTGTCTGCTCTGCCCTCTCTCCAGCAGCTCCAGGACATTTTGGGGCTGCTCACAGCCCAGGAGATGCCGGGGGAGCTGCTGGGCATTGGGGGGAGGTGATGGGGACTTGGCACATTCCTGCACACATTTGTATAGAGTTTCACATATTTTCTTTTATCATTAGTCTTTAATTAAAGCTGTCTAGTTTAATTTTCAAGCTGGAAAGTCTCTCTCTCTTCATTATCTCTCTCCTTCCCTACCTGGGTGTGAGGGGGAAGGGATCAAGAGCATTTTTGTTGCTGGTTCAATTTCTCTTCTTGAGTCAAACTGTGACACCAGATTTCTGTCACCCACAAAGTTTCTCAGGATGCCTTCATCCTATCCTCCAGGACACTAATGAAAGGTTGAACAGAATGGGGCTCAGTATCAGCCTCTGAGCTCCACCACTGCTGACCGTTCTCAAGCTGGACTTTGTGCTTTGACCACTCACTCAGTTTTCAGTCTATCTCATTTTGCACTTATCTAGCAAAAATTGCTCACCTTGTCTACTGCCTCTGCAATGGGAGTCAAGGTAAATATTCCCAGATCCACCTTTGTGTCCTTCTTCAACAGAGGAGGGACATTTGCTTTTTTCCAGTCCTCAGGCACTTCTCCCAGTCACCCTGACCTTTCACAGATTATTTTGAGAGGCCTTGAAATGACATCACCCAGCTCTCTCAATGGTCATGAATGGATCCCCTCAGGTCCCATGGACTTGTCTGTGTCCATTTTTTTTTTTTCTCACATTCCCTAAACCGTCAGTTCTGCACCAAGGTTAAGTGGAGGACAAGGAGGTGATACAAGACAGCCAGCATGGCTTTCCAGGGGCAAATCCTGCCTGACCAACCTCTCCGGCTGGACCACCGTGATGAGCAAAGTGGCTGAGGGAGCTCTGGCACCCAGGGTGTCTCTGTAAAGGAGGTCCCCCTTTCCCACCCGTGTTGTGCTTCCAGACAGAGGCAGATTAGGTAACCTGGAGAGTCCTCCCATGGGGCTGGGAGAGGCAAGTGGAAGACTGTGCCAGCCCTTGGCGCACTTGGTGATTTGGGGGCACAGTGGGAAACTGGTTCTTACCAGGGCTCTATTGAGCACCATCCCCCAAAATGCACACTTGGTGTTGGGTCAGGAGGCGAGCACAGGTAGGCAGCTCAGACCCCTGGGTCCTCTGTCCTGCTCTTGGAGGGGTGGTGGTTCCCTGCCTGTCCAGCTTTCACTGGGGCTGGCCGGGTAGCTGCCCCACACTTCCTGATGGGTGCATATCCCGCAGCACTGACCTCACGCTCCTTATAAAAAGTCTTACGTATTCATTGTATTATTTCTTTTTAATCCTTTTGTATTTCACCCATGGGGCTTCTGTCCTTATCCTGATTCCCCTTCTCAGCTGGGGAGGGGTCATGGGGTGAGAGAGCAAACTCCTTCAGTTTGCCTTGGACGCAGACTAAAGAAAGACAGTTCATTTGGCATCCAATGTGTATTTGAAATACCAAATAAATCACTCACATGAGAGAATCATGAACCTTTAGACTCGTGGTCTCCAAGGGCTGGAGGACTAAAGGGTTTGACCACATTATTAGAAGCACTTGTCATGTAGGCAGTGTGGTTCGGAGGGTCAGTGGGCGGACTTCTCATATGTTTGGTTTTGGAATTGTTTTGGCAGCTCTGGGCTGCTTTACTGCTCTTTGGTTTTAATTTGATACAGTTTTATTGCTTTTGGGTGTGGACTTTGAGGTGCAGGTTTTCTGGGTTGTATGGCCTTGGCTTAGGGCACAACAAATTCATTTGGGGTTACACCAGTTTCTGATCTTGATGAAATGGTGATGGGCATGGCCAATCTGGAATAGTCTTGGAACAATTACATTCCTGCGCTTTTTTGTATCAGGCCCTTTGAATGTTTTTCAGTTTCTGGTTCTCCTTGAAGCGAGCACATGGCACTGAGGCACGTACTCCGTGTCAGCCACAACCTATGCAACAGGTCCTGCAGTGATGAGAAGCATTGCAGCTACTCAGCGCCTAGTAATGGGTGATGTGGCTTACTTAGGCATTCCAATGGTGCCAGCTGCCCCTGCAGGAGGCAAAACCCAAGAAGATTGGGTCATGAGGAGCCGACTACCTGCTCTCTGTGCCTTAGCAAGCTGGGAGTTATCCGGAAAGATTATAGTCGGCACGAATGAGAACAACTCCTTATTCGGTGCTGGGATAACAGAGCGGATGGTGTGGAATTAGAGGGTAATGAAGCCAAGTGGTTGAGGGAGATGGGGACTGTCTGAACGAGAAGCACAACCCCACACTCTCTGGAGATTACTCTTGCTGAGTGTCGAAAAACAGGAATCTCTTTAGGGATGATACAGACCAAGTGGACGGCTATTGAAAAGTTGTGCCAAATATCTGAGAGACATAGCCATGCGGGAGCTGATTTTTGCCAACTTGCCTAAGACACAGACACCACTGAATCCAGACACACCTAAGGTTACTGGATTCCTGTGGCACAAGTGGTACTGAGCGTACCACCAGCCTAAGCCAACACCTTAGCATCCCTCACCATCTCTTCCTTGTTGGTGAGAACAAGTCGCAGCGTAACACCTCTCCTTGCTGGTTCCTCAATTGCTTGGAAATACCTGTGTCCTGGTTTTGTCTTGGATGGAGACAATTCTCTTCTTAGTAGCTAAGTAGCTTTGTGTTTTGGATTTGGCATGGGATTTGATATATGAAGAAGGTTTCATAATATACTGATGTTTTTAGTTGTTGCTAAGAAGTTGAGGACTTTTGAACTTCCCATGCTTTGCTAGTGTGCATGTGCACAAGATGCTGAGAAGGAGCACAGCCAGCACAGCTGACTCCAGCTGACCAAAGGGATGTGAAGGAATGCCTTGTTTTGCTTTGCATTGCATGCACAGCTTTTGCTTT